CGGGTCGCGTAGAAGTGAGACGGGGCGGGGCCGCGTCAGGGCCGGCGGTAGGGCCGCGTAGGAGCCGGGGCAGGGCCGCGAAGGAGCCGGGGCGGGGCTGTGATAGGAGCCGGGGCAGGGCCGCGTAGGAGGCCGGCGGTGTGGCCGCGTAAGGGCCGCGTAAGGGCCGCGTAAGGGGCCGGTGCGGGGCCGCGTAAGGGCCGCGTAGGAGCCGGCGCGGAGCCGCGTAGTGGCCGGGGACGGGGCCACGAAAGGGCCGGGGCTGGGCCGCGTACGGAGCCGGCGGCGTGGCCGCGTAAGGGCCGCGTAAGGGCCGCGTAAGGGGCCGGCGCGTAAGGGCCGCGTAAGGGCCGGGGCGGGGCCGCGTAAGGGCCGCGTAAGGGCCGCGTAAGGGGCTGGCGTGGGGCCGCGTAAGGGCCGCGTAAGGGCCGGGGCGGGGCCGCGTAAGGAGCAGGCGGCGGGGCCGCGTAAGGAGCAGGGCGGGGCCGCGACAGAGTGGGCGGCGAGGCCGCAGAGGAGAGAGCGACTCGAGGGGTCGCTAAAAAAAAATTCGCGCCTCGGGGGCGCGCTTCGGTGGGCCCAAAATTTTCGGTCCTGGAGGGACCTAGCTCTATACCATGTGAAAAGAGTAAGCAGGAATGGATGAACTATGAATGAAAGCAGTACAAATATGAAACCCTAACTGGGTTGTACCCCCTATGGGATACCCCACTACAGCCTACACAGCAGTATAAGCTATAGATATGTTCTGACACGGGGTCCTACGGAAGCAGCAATTGGGGACAACGGCCTCGTGGGACGAACGAGGGCGCCACGATACGTGCCGTCGCCGCAAATGCCACTGCCGCACCATTCAAAGGGCGCTGCTTTGCGTGCAATTGGCCGGGACACCGTAAGAGCGAATGCTCGGAAAACGCGAAGGGAAAGGGGGAAGCTGAGCAGCAGAAATAGACCAAGCAGCAAAGAAACACTGGGAGTCACTAGCAGACGGGCCCTCTACTAACAGGTCACGCCGCTCGCCCGACCCAACTGACCCTCACCGAGTGATTGTGCCGGTTCACGCAATCGACCACACCCGGCCGAATAAGGAGGGTACTACAGTAGACAGCCCCATATTGCTTAGTGGGAAAATCGGGACGGACTTAGTTAAAATCTTCGTAGACGGAGGGGCCAGCCACAGCCTTATCAATACTGCCACACCACGAAAACTGCGACTGCCACTGGACAGATGCTTACCTGAGATCGACGCAAGACTGGTCGACGGCATGCCACTGGCGATATGGGAACGTGTGGACCGAGTTCGGATTCAATGCGGGGGTAACTTCACGTTTAGCTAGGAAATGCTCGCAACGACCCTCGACGGAACCGACATTTTACTCGGGCATGATTGGCTGCGAAGACACAATCCGTGAATCGACGGGACGACGGGTGACTGCACTGTGCGAGTGAACGGTAACAACATCGCCCTACCTTGCTGGGGCTCACCTGAGTCTTTGTCGGTGCGTGTCAACGCGATCACAATGAAACGCGCCGTAGCGGTAGGAGCTGACGTGTATGCGGTTGACATTCGGGAAGCCGAGGCAGCAGATAAAGGAGGGGATTTACAAAAACTGCTAGCCGACGTACCGGGTGATCTGGCAGCACTGTTGAAGCAGTACAGTGACATTTTCCTGGACGACCTACCGACGGGACTGCCACCTCAGCGATCGCACGACCAAAGGATAGAACTAGAACCGGGGGCACAGCCAACAGTACAGCGACAGTTCCGACTGACCCAACCCGAACTGGACGAACTGAGGAAGCAACTGGATTACTTGCTCGAGAAGGAGTTCATCCGCCCTAGTTCGTCGCCCTTCGCAGCACCGATACTGTTCACGCCGAAGAAGGACGGGGGTTTTCGCATGTGCATAGAGAACAGGGCACTAAATAGGGTTACCATAAAATCCCGTTACCCCATTCCGCGAGCCGATGAACTGATCGACCAACTGCGCACAGCCCGGGTTTTCTCGAAAATCGACCTCCGGAGAGGTTACCACCAGATTCGCGTCAACCCACCCGGCTGCCCTAAGACAACCTTCTGAACACGCTACGGATCCTTCGAATACACCGTCATGCCCTTCGGACTGGCCAACGCCCCCGCCACCTTTCAAATGACCATGAACAAAACCTTCCGCCCGCTTTTAGATAAGTGTGTCATCGTGTATCTGGACGACATACTGATTTACAGCCCCGACAAAGCACAGCACTTACAGGACATCGAAGCAGTTTTTAAGATTCTGAGTGAGAACTGCCTACTGACAAAAGTGTCTAAGTGTGAGTTTCTACAAGACCGACTGGAGTTTTTGGGACACATTATTTCAGCTGCAGAAGTGGACCCGAAAAAAATCGCGACGATTCAAGAATGGCATGCGCCGACCAACTTGACCGAGTTGCAGAGTTTTCTGGGGTTCGTTAACTACGTGCGCCGGTTCGTCCCCGACATGGCGAAGCTGACTGCTCCGTTGACCGACCTGCTAAGGAAGGGGGTTGAGTACACGTGGGGGGAGAAAGAGCTAGTTGCCTTCTCGGCCCTCAAAAATATTTTGTGCTCGCCGCCCGTAGTTCACATCGAAGATCCGCACCGTCCGTTCGAGCTCGTCATCGACGCTGGCGACATCGCTGTGGGAGCAGTACTGTTGCATGACTTCGGGAACGGCCTCCAGCCAATCGCGTACAAGTCCCGCAAACTTCACCCGCTCGAATGCGACTACCCGATACACGACCGCGAGATGTTGGCGATCGTGCACGCGTTCAAAGTGTGGCGATGTTACCTCACGGGAGCAGACGTGACAGTACGGATAGACCACTGATCCCTATAGTACCTTCGTGCCCAACCAAATCTGGGTACCCGCGTACCCACTACTAAGGGAACTGTTACTGCAGAAGGCACACGACGGGATTACCTTGAGACGTTTCACGGTAGAAAAAACGCGACAGCAATTGAAGCGGTATTCCTACTGGTGTTGACCGACGTACAGCACAACGTGGGCTCGTGTCCTACGTGTCAGGTGATGAAGAGCTCGCGAAAAAGAAAGGGGGGGTCAGTTGCAGCCGATTCCACCGCCTTAGCGCGCCTGGCAGCAGGTTACCATGGATTTCGTCACGGGGTTACCTTCAAACCCTGGGGGTAACGACGCGGTTATGGTCGTCGTTGACAGGTTGACGAAGATGGCACACTTCGCTGCGTATAAGAAATCGATCTCAGCCGAAGAAACCGCTCGTCTGTTCATCGCATCCGTCGTTCGGGTGCATGGGATACCAACCGCGATAATAAGCAACCGCGACACGAAGTTCACCAGCAATTTCTGGAATAAAATCTGGGAGCAGTTCGGGCAGGCTACAGCTCAGCTCGTTGTACCACCCCAAGACCGACGGTCAAACCGAGCGAATGAATCAAACGATGGAGCAGTTGATTTGTGCCATGTGCGACAACCCAACCACTTGGGAGCAGCAGCTGCCGCTGATCGAGTTCGCGTACAACAACGCCACGTCAGCGACGACGCAGCAGTCTGATAAGAAACGAGAATGAATGCATTGAGTAGAATGAGGAGTACAAGTAGTAAACCCTTAAGTGTTGTACCCCATATGAACTGCCCCACTACAGCCTACATAGAATATAGCATATATGCCTGACACACCCCCATAGGCAAAGTGGGGGAGAACAAGGGGTCACAAGACTAGTCAAGCAAAGCAAGGCAAGCTGAGGGTGGATCACAACGTCACCACACAGTCCGAGCACAAGAGCAGGGCCACAAGGCCAGCTCACATGCAAGATCATATATATAAAGGTAAACAAGCAAGTGCAGGTATAGAAAGAGTACAGTACAAACAAGGTCAAGAAGTGAGAAAGTGAGGCCAAGTAGGCACAAGACCTAGCATAACACAGAAGCGCTGATGATCACAAGGCGGAAGGGCCTTGGTAAAGATATCAGCAGTGTTGGCCTCAGAGGCCACGTAGGTGAGGCGGAGCTGACCACGCTGCTGCAGCTCACGAGCCAGGAAGTAGCAAAGAGCAATGTGCTTCGTTCTCTCCTCCAGTCTGTGCTCCCGACACAAGGCCAGCATGGCCTTGTTGTCTACGTACAGAACTGGAGGAGAACGAGGCGGCTCTCCTAGGTCAGTCAGCAGGTAGGTGAGCCAACGTAGCTCCTCTGCAGCCATGGCCCCCGCGTAGATCTCAGCCTCACAGCTGGAGGTGAGAACTGAAGACGAGCGGGTAGACCGCCACGAAACAGAGCCGGAGCCAAGGCTGAAGGTGTAACCCTGTGACGACCGCTGTGTTGGCTGGTCGTCAGCCCAAGAAGCGTCTGCGTGACCTGTGAGGACCACTCGACGTCGCCCTCCAAGCACTAGCCCTATGCCCAACGTACTGCACACGTAGCGCAACACCCTCTTGGTCGGTGTCTCCCAGGAGCAACATAGCGTGCCAAGATGCTAAGAGGGTATGCAAGGTCAGGTCGTGTGCAGGTCATCAGGTACATAAGGCAGCCAACAAGCTCTGGGTACGGGCCACTCGGCTCTACGGACTCATCCGAAGGCAGAGCTCAGAGCGAGTGGCGAGTAGACAGAGGAGTGGCCTGAGGCAAGGAGTACGTGAAGCCGAAGTGCTGAAGGACCTGCTGCACCATGTGTGACTGAGTCAGGGTAATGGTGCGCTGTGCTCTGTCCCGGGTGATCTGCAAGCCAAGGTAGCTGCGCAGTTCACCCAGGTCTGTGCACGTGTGTCTCTTCTACAGCTCAGACTTCACGTGGGCGAGTCTAGCAGTGTAAGCAGTGGCAAAGACCAAGTCGTCGACGTACACGAGGATGTATAACGGCGGCAAAGAGGTGTCGGTGCGCAGAAAAAGCGACGGGTTGGCTGTAGAAGGAGCAAACCCAAGAGCCGCAAGTGTAGTCCTCAGTGTGTCGTGCCACTCACGGGGCGCCTGGCGGAGACCGTAGACTGGCCGCCTGAGGCTCCACTAGGTACCAGGAGGAAACGACCCAGTGAAGCCAGGTGGGCGGCGCAGCCAGATCTCCTCGTGCAGGCTGCCCTTCAAGAAAGCTGTGCTGAAGTCAAGAGAGTGAAGCTCGTAGTCGCGCAGAGCGGCTATGTCGGGATCCTCGATCGCCTCAGCGTACGATCGAGGAGTCGGGATGTCTAGTGCATCCGGGTCTCCCTCAGGGGCAATCAGCGTGGACACGAGATGAGGCAAAGCAGCGGCAAAAAGCTGGAACTCCTCCTGCCTGTCCTCAAGGACGTCCGTGCTAAGAGCACACCCACCCCTGACAGACGCAGGATAGACACACTCGGACTCAGCAACAAGACTAGTGGCGTAGTCTAGACGACAGCGAGCAACGAAGTCAACAAGCTCAGCCACTAAGGCAGACGCAGCAGTGGACTCAAAGGAAGGGTCAGTGACAACAGTGGCCAGGAGACGCGTGACAGTAGGACTGGCAGCACGAAGAGAACCAGACTCAGGGTCAACATGAAGAGGAAGAGAGGACTCTGGAGGAGACCGCAACGGGACACGCAGAGGAGCAGTGGAAGGACGTAGTGCCATCTGGTGTGTGCCTGGGACCGCAGGAGGACGTGGACGCGAAGCACGACCACTAGTGCGAGCAGCAAGAACAGGCGACGCACGACGAGACGCAGGCTCACGACGCTCAGTAAGTCCTCCAGTAGGACCAGAGTAGGGAGAAGGAGCAGGTAGAGGGGAGGCGGGCTGTAACTATGACTGCGACTGGACAGGCTGTGGACACTCTAAGGGAGGAGCAGGACCAGTAGAAGGCGGGAGACCAAGAACTTGCTCAAGGAGCGGAACGAAGTACGCCCGCGGCCGCGCAGCGTCTCCAGAACCAGCAGGACAGCACCAGTACCCCCAGCGACAGCACCAGCGCCAGCAGCACCTCCAACTCCAACAGCGCCAGCTCCAGCACCCTCAGATGCACTAGCGCTAGCACAACCACCAGCGCCAACACCCCCAGCAGCTCCAGCTCTAGCAGCTCCAGCAGCACCAACTCCAACAGCCCCAGCAGCACCCCCAAGGCCCAGCAGCTCCAGCACCGCCAGTATGAGCACCTCCGGGGCCGGTAGCAACAGTAGTACCTCCAGCTTCAGCAGCACGGCTCCAGCGCCGGGCAAACCACTCGCGCAGCTCCTGTGGAGAGAGTGGCTCCCGCCTCGATGAAGCACCGCCGGTGGCCACACAAGCAGACCCAGCGCCCCGAGGCTCCGCACCCCCAGGCTCCGCACCCCCAGGCTCAGCACCTCCAGACTCAGCACCCCCAGACGCAGCACCCCCAATCTCAACACCCCCAGGCTCAGCACCCCCAGACCCGGCACCCGTAGGCTCGGCACCTCTAGCAGCAGGAAAGTCAACAGCTTCCTCGACAGGCTCGACTGCGTCTACCTGGGACACACCTGACGGGGCAGGACCCTGGGGGGGGAGAGGGTCTACCGGGGGAGGACCTGGTGCAAGGAAGAGCGGCGGCGGAGGAAGAGGCGCAGCGCGGTAGGGGAAGAGACGGTAGTAAGGCACCGACTCGTCAAAGGTGACGTCCTGGGAGGACAGAACAAGGCGCGAGGTGGGGTGGTAAAACTGCCAACCAGGCGCGTCAGGGGGGAAGCCAAGGAAGACGCAGGGAACAGCACGGGGGGACAACTTGTCCGCAGACAAGTCGCGGATAAACGCCCGAGATCCACAGACCCGAAACGCAGACGCATCGCCAACCTTCCCCGTCCACCGCAAGGTGGGGGAGGTCTTTGGAAAGGAGACTCGAAGCTGAAGGTTGAGCTGATGCGCCGCGTACTGAACCGCAAACGGCCATAGAAAATGGGGAGCAGTCGCATGGATCATGGACGTACGAGCGACGTCCATGACCATGCCAATGCGGCGCACAGCAATCCCATTTTGCTGTGGAGAGGCCGGAAGCGTGAAGGTCTGGCGGATGCCCTGTGCACGACAGAAGGCTCCCAGACGGGCAGAGGAAAACTCCCCGCCTCTGTCAGAGTGCAGACGCAGAACAGGAAAGTCGGAGCCAAAACTCTCTCTGAGCTGGAGACGAGCTGCGCGGATCCAGTCGATCAACACCTCAGTGACGTTGCCCTTGCTGCGCAAGGGGAAGACCACCAACAGGAAGTAACGCTCGTGCCCTTGGCCACGGACGCGGGCGAGGCCCCACACCTCCATGTGAAGAGTCTGCAACGGAGACTCTGTTGGAGGAAACTCGGAGGAGTGAGGGGCGGCGTGCTGTTGCCCCTCGACGTAGGGGACGCAGGTAGGGGCAGGCCCCGGAGGTAGAGGAGGGAGAGATCGGGGGAGACCAGAGACAAGGACACGGGACGCCATGCCTCGGAGACGAGGCAGGGAGGGGTGACCAAGGCAGTGGTGCCAAAGGAGAGTCTGGTGAGACAGGAGACGACACGAGCAGGGAGCAGACTCAGGACTAGACTTGTAAGCTGCAGCAAACACCTAACTCGACGCAGAGACCTAACCAGGCTCCGCAGCCGGAGGAGACTCAGTAGTGAGGGTGTACAGGCTCGACCCCGGCCGACGGGTGAACGTGGCCAAGTGTCTGCCTGTCCGAGCACACGTGCAGTGGGTCACCCGCTGACTGGCAGGAGTGAAGTGGTCAACCCCCCTATCCTGTAGGTCAGTGCCACTCACCAAGTTTGTAGAGAACAAGGGGAGGTAGAGACCTGACAGGGTGCCAGAGGGGACTGCCGGACACGGTAAGACAGTGGAGAAGCGAGCAAGGACAGGACCCCCAGAGGGGTCCGCCAGGGAGACCGCAACCGGCCGACTAAGCGGCGTAAGTGTGGTGCGGTCTCGAAAGAAGGAGCGGGAAGCACCCGAGTCAAGGGTGAAGGTGTGTAAGGCCCGAGCCGACGTAGTACCTGAGAGGGCAGACTCACCAGAACCTGTTGCAGCAGACGCGCTAGCACCTAGAGCAGCAGCCTCACCAGCACCTAGAGCAGCAGTCTCAATGCCCGGGTCAGGCGGAACACACAGGTAACAGTCACCCTCAACACTATCAGCAACAGCATCAATGGCAGCAAGAATAGCATCAAAATCAAGATCAAAGATAGCAACCCCCGCCCTAGACAGCTCTCCCCAGCGAGGGATCTCAGAGGCCTTAGGGAAGTGGTGACACCACGCGTCCGTCAGGCGGCCGAAGCAACGCTGGGTGGAGTGCGGCCCCCTGCACTGCTCACCAGCGCGGTCGCCGGTGCGGAGAACGTAGGTGCAGGGACCCGTACCCCCAGCACGCTGACGCGCAACGTACCACTCACGAAGCTGCTGAGGGGACAGGGTCTAACGACTGCGCTGCTGCTGCTGGCGCGTACCTCCACCGGAGCCACTCCTCTGCGCAGAGATGCGACCAGGTCCACTGCCGTTGCCGCCACCTCCGTTGCCTCCGCCGCCTCCACCACCTCCACCGCCTCCGCTCCCTCCGCCTCCGCCGCCGCCTCCTCTGCCTCCACTGCTTCCAACGACACCTCCACCCCCGCCACCACTCCCACCACCACCCCCACCCCCTCCACTGCCTCCACCACCACCTCCACCACCCCAGCCAGCCCCTCCAGCGCCCTTGCCCCCCTTGCCCTTGCCGGTGCGGCGTCTCCCGCTCGAGGGAGACGCAGCGCCGACCGACTCGAAACCAACGAGGCCGGCCGCAGCACCAGAGGCAACAGAGGGCAAGAGGGGGGAGGGGGAACACCCCTCAAAGACGGGGGTGCGAGGGTCACCATGAGAGGCTCCTACAGCGACTATGTTCTTCTCTGCTGCTAGGAGGCCCTTCTCGAGGAGGTCAACGGTGAGAGTGATGGGGCAAACTGAGAGGAAGTGGTCCCTGACTACGCGGAGAGAGTCAGGGAGCTGGGTGACTATGTAGTAGAGGGTGATGTACATGGGGGGGGGGGTTCTTGGCGCAGAATTCAGCAGGAAGCGCAGCGCGGTAGCGAGTGTCACTAGTGCGGAGGTGCGTAATGAGGTCAGCGATTGTGGGAAAGGCAGCAAGGTCAGGGAAGAGGTACGGTAGCATGAGGCGGCTCAGTGCAGTAGTGGCAGGGGAAGAGTAGCGTGCAACTACAGCGTCGTACAAGGTCTGAGCACTCTTGTACTGGCTAAAGTGTGCACGCTCAGTGGTCGGTACGTGGGGACGCACAGCAAGGCGAGCAGCAGCATCGCGTGTGGCCCACTGTGAGCGAACAGTGCTGTCAGCCGTAGCAGGCGGGGCAGGAGAGGCACTAGAGGTGAGATCGAACAGAGAGAGTCCATCTGCCCTATCGCACTGGAGAAACAGCTGGAGATCATCGATCCAGACCTCAAAGTCAACGGCACGGCCCTCAGCATCAAAAGTAAGGACACTGGGGGTAGCCATGACTGCAGTGGCATAGTAGGGAGTGAGCTCACCAGTCCGAGGAAGGAGGGCCGGGGCGCACCGGTAGGAACAGCAGCGACTCGACAATAGGGGGGCTCGGCGGCTCAGCGGCTCGACGGTAGGGCGGCTCGGCTACTGGGCGGCTCGATAGTAGGGCGGCTCGGCGGCTCGGCTGCTGGGCGGCTCGGCTGCTGGGCGGCTCGGATGTTGGGCGGCTCGGCTGCTGGGTGGCTTGGATGCTGGGCGGCTCGGTTGTTGGGCGGCTCGGCTGCTCGGCAGGTGGGCGGCTCGGCTGCTGGGCTGCTCGGCGGCTCGGTCGCTGGGCGGCTGAGCGGTGACAGGGCCGCTAGGGGAGGGCGACGGGGCCGCAGGTGACGGCGACGGGGCCGCAGGTGGCGGCGATGGGGCCGCAGATGGCGGCGACGGGGCCGCAGATGGCGCCGGGGCTGCAGGTGGCGGCTGTGTGGCCGCAGGTGGCGGGGACGGGGCCGCTGGTGGCGGCGACGGGGCCGCAGGTGGCAGCGACGGGGCCGCAGGTGGCGGCGACGGGGCCGCAGGTGACGGCGACGGGGCCGCAGGTGGCGGCGAAGGGGCCGTAGGTGGCGGCAGCGGGGTCTCAGAGGGGCCGAAGTGGGCCTAGACGAGGCCGCAGAGGGGCTGCAAGGGGCCTAAACGGGGCCGAAGAGGGGCCGCAAGGGGCCTAAACGGGGTGGCGACGGGGCCGTAAGGGGCCGGAAAGGGCGCCGCGAGGGGCCGAAAGGGGGCCGCGCGAGGGGCCGTAAGAGAGGCGCGAGGGGCCGTAGAGGGCGGCGCGAGGGGCCGTAAGGGCGGCCAAAGGGGCCGTGAGAGGGGCCACTAAGGGCGGCTCGAAGGTAGGGAGGGCACACAGAGCGCGAATCGGGCAGGAGTGAAGCGCGCTCCGGGCAGGAAAAAAAAACATCGTGTAGGGCCCTAGGAAGCGTTCCAACTAGGGAACTTGCTCGATACCATGATAAAAAACGAGAATGGATGCATTGAGCAGAATGAGGAGTACAAGTAGTAAACCCTAAAGTGTTGTACCCCATATGAACTGCCCCACTACAGCCTACATAGACTATAGCATATATGCCTGACACAGTCCCCCTTCTACCTGAACTACGGGCAAAACCCTACAGTGCCCATGACGCCGAGTCCGGACAACCCAACGCCACGTGCACAACAATTCGTCGAAATTCTGCAAGCTGCGCATACCAGAGCCGCCGAAGCAATAAAAAAAAAACAATGTCATCGCTAAGCGCAATGCTGACCGCCACCGCCGCCCAGTCACGTACAAGTCAGGAGACTACGTACTGCTCGACACACAAAACTTAAGACTGCTCGTCGTACCGAAATTACGACCCCGCTACTGCGGACCATTCCAAATCAGCCACATGATTACCCCGGTGACAGCCCACCTACTGTTGTCGACGGACTGGTACATCAGCCCTTCATTCCACGTCAGCCTGCTTCGCCCATACATCCCAACCACAAGCCAACTGCCTCGTCACCGCCCGCCATCCATGACTCGCCCTGCATCGGAGCCGATCATCGAGCCCGAAAAAATACTGAGCCATCGGATTCGACACCCCACGGGAATCAGGAGGATTGAATTTCTCGTTCGCTGGAAGTACCGGACGCGAACTGAGGATAGCTGGGTACCCCTGGCCAACATCGAAAACCACCCTGCCCTGCAAGTGTACCTGAGGAGCCGGGGTTTCCGCGATATACATGCACTCGCGTAGCTGAGGGGGCTTCTTGAGGGGGGGGGGGGTAGTGTAAGGAATTTTCTCGACATTCCTTAGCGCACCCTGCAACACCGCGTAAAGCAGCAGCCGTTGTTCGCCCGTCACTGCTAACGGGGCTTCGCTGACTTCGCGAGCACTGTTTCACCAAACCTCGCACTGCTGGACCGGCCGTGTCGGCCTACGCTTCGGGACTAGCCCAAGCCTCGCTTCCAGCGTAGCACTAACTAGCTCGCACGCACCGCGTTACCGTTTGCATGTTTCACGTATATATGTTCGCTCATGCCTTCGCTCACATTTTGTACTCGTTTGACACCTTAGTGCAATTCTCGCTACTTAGATTCATTGCACCCGTAACAACAACTCATAACATGCCAGCAACCATTGGTGTACTCAGGTCACGGTATGAAAGTTTGTAGTTACCACAAGCGGCTGCGAACACCTAATTTCGCCTCGCACAGCAGGAGCGACTCGGCTGGCCTTGCAGTTTGCGGCGCGATCCCTACCGCGGGGGGCTGATTGGCAAGGGCTGGAAAGCAGTTTCGCGAAGGTGTCGTAACGGGTCATTTGGAAACACTGCAGACCACCATCGGATTCTTAGAATCCGACGGTTAAGCGTGCTTGACACTGTAACGATAGCGAACGCACACGCCATTTCGGCAGGTACGGAGGACCTGCCTCGCGTTTTCCGTGCGCGGGACAGCCTTCCCTCGTCGTTCCCCTTGCTGCAGCTGGACATGCATGACCACCAGAAGCAGCTGTTGGCTTCCCACTTTTTGGCGCCTCCGCCAAAATCTCCTCATTCAATTCTCCTCTTGCGTTGCGCTCAAATTCCCTCCCCACCCACCACTTCTGTTCGCGCCACCTTGGCGATTCCTTGTTGTCATCACGTCCTTTCCGCCACCTGCACAAATGCCACCACGCGAAATACTTCACTCATGGGCGCTGCGTTTGTTTGACACACACAGACCCCCCTTCCATCTAGGCAAGCCACGCGCCAACTGCCGAAGGTAGGAGGAGCAGTGTAGTAGACGTAGAAGCATCGGCGTTAGTTTTCTCGGTGCGCTGGCGATCGTTCGAAGTCGTCCGCCTAGATTGGCGACGCCAAGAAGGTGAAACAGAGTGTTGCACTCGGCGCCGCTATTGAGCAATGCTTTCGCGGCGCATTTGCGGAAAGAGGCGCGTAACGGTAACAGGGCATTCGTAACCAATAACGGAGGGCATCTCTCGGCGCTTAGCAACGCAGCGTGCGAATAACGTGATTAGGCCGCGATGATGACGGCAGCGGAGCTGGCGGCGTCCGGTTGGGCGGACAACGGGTCCCTGGGCTGGCCGCTGCAGGCGGTGCCGCGCGATGCGCGCGACGACTTGGATATCCTCGCGAGCATGGAGAAGCAGCAACGGTGAGTGGCGACGAACTACGGCAAATGGGGAAACGGGAGGAGCGATCAAAGCACATGATTCCATTCGTGCCAATTGCAGTGTCTTTTTTTGTAATTCTTGCAATCGCTACCCCGTCCCCCGTCCCCACGTCTTGACGTGCCGACGTCCCTACGTTTCAACATTCCCACACCTCCCCCTTCCCACCCCTTCCGCCCACCGTCCCCCTCCCTGCCCCCACGCGACCTCCTTCATGCGTGCAGGGGTCTTCATGTGAAGACCACTCGCAGCGCTATCCCGATCCACGCACCCGCGCAGCCCGCCACTCCGCGCACTCCGCGCACTCCCCTCGCGCCGTCCCCACGGGACTCATTTCAGTCGCCTCCGATGCTACCCCGCCACCACAGCGGCCCGATAGAGCCATCCTCGTTACAGTCACCCATTTACTGTCACACACCACAGCAGCTGAAGCGGGACCCTTTAGAGCGACACGTGTCAGACGAGCCTACAGCCTCCCCGCTCCCGGGCTCCGCCAACTCCCCCCGGACAAGCGCGTCGGGGGGGATTTCCGGGCTGCTCGCAGGCCTGTACGTCCGGACTCCCGTTGCCGAGCCTAACGCCGAGACTCGGGGCAGGTCAGGGTCCCGTTCTCCGCTTCGGCTGCGCATGTTCGAGACTTCCCCAAAGCCGCGGAGACCCATCGAGCGCGGGAGATCGCTATCCCCGTACAGAGGCCCGCGGATGGGCGCGGAAGCCGACGAGGAACGAGCGATCGGCGGGGGCGGGAGCGTGCGCGGAAGCATGCGCAGAAGTTTGCGCGGGAGCGGGGTGTGGGATGGGGCGGGCGCGGGAAGCTCGTCCGCAAGAGGCAGCCGCGCGGGTTCCGTTTCCCCGCTCCCCTCCCGCTCCCCCTTGCGCCGGTCGATCTCCCCTCTGCGCGCCAGCGCTGGCGGGTTAATCGACATGCTATCTGGCCCCGTCACCCCGTCCGCCACGCCCTCCCGCCGCTTCCAGGCGCAGCAGGAGCGCGAGTGGGACGAGCGCCAGCAGCGGCGGGAGCAGGAGCAGGCGGAGGCGGGGGGGTTGCCTTTTGAGAGTATCGTCGCGGGCGCGAGAGACAGGCGCGCGCGGCAGCACGCGCGCAGCAGCAGCAGCAGCAGCAGCAGCAGCAGCAGCGTTCTTTGCGGCGCGAATGGCGGCGTGGGAGGGGCAGCTGTGGCCGATTCGGGCGAGATCCCCGTAATCTCCGGAGGTTTCGGCCAGGACAGGCAGACTCAGCAGGGACAGGGAGAATCAGCGGCGCCGCGGGCGAGTCCGCAAGAAGCGGCGTGGAGTCCGCAGGTCTCGGACGCGAGCCCGTGGGGCGGGCGCGGCGCGACGCCCTCCGCGCCGTCCGCCGCTGTGGACCATTTACCCTCGTTAGAAGCACTCTCGCGCTCGCCCCGGCGCGGATGCGAGGCTCATAATAACGGAGGCGAGGAGAGCAGTAGCGAGGACGAGGGGAGGTACTACAAGGTTCCGGATATCACGGAATATAGGAATAGGCGACGTCAGAGCGCGGGGAGTGCGGCGTCACCGGCGAGTAAAGTCACGCACGAGTATTTCCGGGGCGGCGGAGTTGACGTTTCCTTTGCGGACTTTCTTGCTGCGCGCGCCAGTGCTGCTACCGCTGCTGGTGCTGGTGGCGGCGTGAATGCTGCTGCTGCTGCTGCTGCTGGTGATGTTGCCGGTGGTGATGGTGGTGGTGGGTATGGTGCCAATACCGCGGCAGTTACTAGCGCGAACGAGGCTGGTGCGGGCGGGGATGCACCTGGTAGTGGCGCGGCGGGAAATTGGGGCACTGACGCTGACGTGGCAGCTGGCGCTGACGTAGCAACGGGGGCGCCGGAACGCGAAGCGGCTCCAGCTGGAGGGGAAGCGGGAAATACGGGGGAGAGAGGCGACGAGAATTTTGACTACTATGATTCAGATGCTGCTGGGGATGGTGTTGCGCCGTCAGTTGCGGCTGGAGCTGCGGTGGCGGTTGCGGTGGGCGCAGAGGCGGGCCACGGGATGGCGGCCGGGGAGACAGCGGGCGCGGATGACGGGGACGCGCGGGAAAGTACGCGGAAGCGCGGGGGAGGGCTTGGCGGAAGCTCGCGGAAGCACCAAGCGCGATGGGGATTGGCGGGAGGGAGGGATGGGGACGGGGAGGATGGCGCGGGACAGGCGGAAGAAGGCAAGGCGGAGTCGAGGCGGAGTCTGCGTGCACAGTGGAGCGCGCGAAGGTCAAGGCGCGGGGAGGGGGGAGCGCATGGCGGAAACGAGCGGGGGAAGGGGGCGGCAGGGGGCACGCGGGAGGACCAAGGGGGCTTGGAGGGTTCCGCCATAGGGGGAGATCAGGATATGGCGGGGGAGGAGGCGGAGGGGCGAAGGAGACAGGTCAACGAAGGGCAGGGGGAGAATGACTGGGGGGCTGCGGAGGTTGGGGGCCGAGGGGAATGGTCAGGGGCCGCGGAAGGGTATGGGACTGGGGATGAGGGGGAAGAGGGGGGTAGGGAAAGAGGAGGAAAGATGGAAGGGTGGGCAGAGAGGGGGGCCTATGGGGACGAGCAGGGAAGGGCACATGGAGAGTGGGGGGAAAATGACAAGGGTGGGGGTGGGTATGAAGATGATGGGGATGATGGTGATGATGGGGAAGACGGCGGAGATGGCATGGCGGAGTGTGGGCAGGATCTGGCGCGGTCTGGGCATGGCATGGCGCGGTGGCAGGAGCAGGAGCAGCAGGAGCAGGAGGGGGAGGAGCAGGAGGAGCAGGAGGAGGAGGAGGAGGAGGAGGGAAGTGCTACGCGGGTGGTGTCAGGGAAGCGGAAGCGAGAGCAGGGAGAGGCGGAGGGGGAGGGGGAAGGTGAGAGCGAGAGGGGAAGGGGAAAGGGGGAGCCCAGAGAGGAGGGTGTGAGGGACGAGGGTGAGGAAACAGGGCGTGGGTACGCGTATGGCGCAGGGCGGGGAGAGTATGGTGGAACGGGGGAGTATGGTGGAACGGGGGAGTATGGAACGAGGGGACAGTATGGGGCGAGTGGGGAAGACGATATGGTGACGATGGGCATGTCAGCGGAATGGGATGGGGGCATGGCTGCTGCTGCGGCTCTTATGGCCTCCGGAGGGGCAGCAGGGGACGGCACTGCATCGAACACGGCCTCTGCCGCCAGTGCTGCTGCATCCCCGTTACAAGCCTCTCCGTTTCAAGCCTCCTCTCCCTCTCCAAGCAGCACTGCTGCATTTTCTGACCTGTCCTCGATGATGCCACCGGTGTTCCTCCCGCCTCCTGCTATTCAGCAACCCACACCACCACTCCCCACCGCCTCCAACCAGATTGACGACTGTGACTGCGAGGAGGACCCTCTACCACTCGCCTTTCTCCTCCGCGCCCACCACCCCCACCTGCTTCCCCCTGCTGCTGCTGCTGCTTCTGCTGCTGCTGCTGCGCCCTACGCCCCTGCGCCCCCGCGCCCTCTCACACACGGGTTGTGGCGCAGAAACCACTCCGCCCTCACCACTGCCGCCCTCTCCTCCGCTGCTGCCGCCGCTGCTGCTGCCTCTGCCTCTAGCGCCTCTGCTGGCGCGGATGCGCTGCTGCCTGTCCCTCGCTCCGTACTAAGCCGCACCGTCCGGCCTCCCTTTGCCTATGCCGCTGCTGCTGCTCCTGCTGCCACCCACCCGCCTCCTCCTGCTGCTGATACTGACCCAGCTGTTGCTTCAGGTGCTGGCGGTGAGGGAACGGAACCAGTTGCTACCGTTGCCTTCGCTGCAGCTCCCAACACCGTACAGCCACCATTGAAAACAACAGCTGCTGACACCCCTGCTTCAGAGAAAACGCTCACCACGTTAGAGGATTTTCAAGACTCACCACACAAGCAAGCCCCCGTAGAGCCAACTAAAGGTCGCACCCCGGTGCCATCTACAGGGGAGAATCTTGACTCCTCCCAGAATGCGCCTGCTGCATCTGCAGAGGCGCATACAAGCACAGACGTTGCCATTCCTCCACCTGACTTCGCTACAGTCACACCGCAGCAGCCCAGCGTAGCTTCGGTGCTCCCCATCCTGGTCGCCTACGCCTCCCGACCCGGAGCCTTGGGCCGAGCCTCCATGCTCTACCGCATGCGCAGCTCAGGCGTCTCTTCCATGCATGCTTCTTTGGCCAACCACGACGCGACAGCTGGCGAGGGGATGGAGGCGGGGGCGGTGGCACAGGCGCTGGAACGATTGGGGGAGTATGGGGAAGGTGGGGGAGGGGGGATGGGGGGAGGGGGAGGGGGAAGGGGTGGAATTATGGGGGGGAAAGGTGGGGATCATGAGATGTGGGAGTATAGCGAGGAGGATGCGAACGCAGCAGCAGCAGAGGCGTTATCAGTGTTTGGGTTTCCTTTTTCTCTTGAGGGATTCGCTCTGGGTGGTGGTGGGGAGGAGGAGGAAACGGTGGAGGGGGAAGGAACGGCTGTAGCGGGAGGAGGAAAGGATACAGTCGGTCTACCTGTGCTACAGCCGGGGGAAATATATTCCATCCGAGGTGTATTTGATGTGGAGGGGAGCCAGGGGGAGGCTGCAACTGGTGACGGTTCTGCTGGCTCTGCTGGTTCTGCTGGTGTGGCTAGTGCTGCTGCTAGTGCTGCTGCTGGTGCTGATGGTGATGCTACTCCAGGCGAATTCGGTGACAGTGCGAGTGTGACTGTAAACGGGGCTCAGTTCTCCTTCCACGCGGGCAGCGACGGCAGAAGTTCCAGCCATGCTGACGCGGCAGTGGGTCCGGATGACGTGGACGGTGAGCTGGATGAGGTGGCAGTGGAGGCGAGTCTACGTCAGCTTGAGCTGGCACTAGAGCAAGGGCTGTTACCAGATGAGGTGGAGGCATTGAGGAGAGAGTTAGAAGCTCTGGTGGAGAGAGGTACACGGAGGGCGAGGAGAGGCTCGCAGGGGCAGGAGGGTGGGGAGGCGGAAAGGAGGGCTGTGGTTGGGACGGGAGAACGGGAGGGGGAAGGGGAGGTGGGTGTGATGAGGGGAGAGGTGGAGAGGGAAATGGGGTTGGGGGAAGAGGGTGGAGACGAGTTGGGGGATGGGGCCGAGGGGGATGGGGTTGAGGTGGAGAGAGAGGGGAGTGGAGGTGAGAGGGAGGAGGAAGGGGGGAGTGAGGAGGGGGAGGGGGGATTTGGAATGGAGATGGAGAGGGATGTGACGCCGTACCATGAGATGGAGGGAGGCAGGGAGGGCAGGGAGGGTGGGGAGGTGGAGAGGGAGCGAGAAGGTGAGGTGGAAAGGGATGTTACTCCGTACCATGAGATGGAGGGGGACAGAGAGGGCAAGGAGGGAGAGATGGAGGCAGAGAGGGAGAGAGAAGAGGAGGAGGTGGGAGAAGGGGAGACGGAGAGGGAGGGAGAAAGGGAGACGGAGAGGGAGGGAGAAGGGGAGATGGAGAGGGAGGAGGAGAGAGCAGGCGGTGAGTATGGTGGATATGATGGGGATGACAGGGAAGTAGTGGAAGGGGAACAGAGTGTGAAGGGAACGGCTGGTGAGATGGATGAGGCGGTTGAGATGGGTGGGGAGGGTGAGGAGAGGGGTGAGGAGGCTGAGGTGGGGGTTGGTGAGCAGGCTCAGGAGGCTGGAGGTGAGGAGGTGGGGTGCGGTGAGGAGGAGTGCAAGGATGCTGAAGGTGAGAAGGTGGGAACAGATTTGATAAACCACAAGCCTTGCTTACCAGCCCAGCTCATTCCTGCACTCGCCAAGCCGCCTCTCCCGCCGTCCCTCTCTGCCCACGTCGACGCGCTCTCTGCTGACCTGGACGCTGAGTCAGCAGCGGCTGTAGCGGCGGCTGCAGCAGCGGTGTCAGCAGAGGTGGAGGAGATGGGCGGCGGCTGTAGCACCAGCTGTAGCACAGCCAGCAGCCCAAGCCGCCTAGGTCTGGGTCTCATGGGCGGCATGAGCATGAGCAGCACGGGCAGTGGCGGGGGGGTGCTGGGCGGAGGGATGGGAATGGGAAGCAGCCCTTTGAGTGTTACCGGTGGCGGGATGAGTCCGGGTAGGGCTGCTGGTGTTGCAGGGGACAGGGGCGGCAGTGGTGGTGGTGGAGGAGGAGGAGGAGCAGCGGGAGCAGCGGGAGAGGAAGGAGTCGGTACAGGAGCAATTGGGTCACACGCACAGGGGCGCAGCGGGGGTGGGGGAGCGGGAAGCGGAGGGGGAGCAGGGGGGGAGAAGGCGCTGTACACGGTGGGGCACTGGCTGAGGCAGGTGGACATGGCGGAGGCGGAGGGGCGCCTGCACGTGGCAGTGCGCCTCTTTGAGCTGGCCGAGCGCTGCCACGCCCAGCCCGCCACCCTGCTCCGTGTTGCTCGCTCCCAGTTCATGCGCCGCCACCGCTACTCCCTCTCCCTCTCCGCTGCTACTGCTGCTGGTGCTGGTGCTGCTGGTGCTGGTGCTGCTGGTGCTGGTGGTGCCGCTGCTGCTGCTGGTGGTGTTACTGCTGGTGTTGGTGCTGCTGGTGCTTCTGGTGGTGGTGGAAATGGGGCTTTTGGTGTTGTTTCTGCTGGGGCGTCACCGCTGCTTTCCCCGGCCGCATCACCGCTTCACACCGCTTTCCACCGCCCGTCATCCTCCCCTCCTCGCTCCCCCCTCCCGCTCCCATCCGCCAACCCCTCATTCTCCCCCCTCTCCTCCCCTCCTCGCTCCCCTTCCCCCTTACCTCCGCCCGCTTCCCTCTCCGCCGTCCCCCTGCCCGCACCCCCGTCCCTCTCCCCCTTCCCCACGCCCCCGCCCCCCTCCCTCTCCGCGTTCCACTGGCGGCAGCAGCCCACAGAAGGTGGAAGCGAGCGGGGCACAGCAGGGGCAGGCGGGCAGGCAGGCGGAAACGCCTCTAGCCTTGCTTCCTCCCCCCCGCACTCGCCCCTCGCTGCCACTACCCCCGGCTCCTCCCCCCGCTCGACCTTCTCTCTCTCCCCTGCTGATGCCCTCCCAGCACTGCCCAAATCGTTTGGGTTGCGTAGGGGTGGTGTGGGCAGGCGGTTGGTGTTTGAGAGTGGGGGAGAAGGGAGGCGTGAGGAGGAAGAGGAGAGAGGAGGGGTGTGTGAGGGAGAGGGGGAGGTAGGTTCGTCTGCAGCCTCGAGTGTTGTCGGGAACCAGTTGGGGCGTGAGAGTGAAGGGGAAGGGAGGCGAGCAGGGGAGAGAGGAGAGGAGGGGCAGAGGGAGGAGGACGTAGGCGCTTTTGCAGCTGGTGCTGCTGGGGATGATAGCAGTGGTGGCAGCAGTTGTGATGACGATGGTGGTGATGATGGGAGGAGAGAGGAGGGAGAGGGTTTGAGTATGCAGGGCGATGGAGCGAAGGGAGAGGAGATGAGGGAGAATGGAGAGGAATGGAGGTGGGAGGAGGTGCAAACGAGGGTAGACGGAGGAGTGGAGAAGGGTGAGGGGAGTGTTGGGAGCGGTGCAGAGAGTGCAGATGTGGAGATGACTCAGACGAGGGGAGGAGAAAGGAGGGAGGGTTGGGAGGAGCAGGAGAATGGCTGGGAGCGTGCTGACCGGGTACAGGCATGGGCACATGAGAACCTCCCAGGGCCGGCACCAGAAGAAAACAGGAGCGGCAATTCCCGGACCGGAGGCAACGGCTCGTTCTCAGGCTCGGAAGCAGGCTTGGAGTTTCCAGAGGGTAGTGGTGGGAACAGTGGCAGTGGAGGCAAGGGCAGTGGGAGGAGACACGGAACCTTGGCCGATCAGGCAAAGTGGGGAGAGAGAGAGGCGGGGGGCAATGATGCTGCTGCTGCTGCTGCTGCTAGCGCTCATGGCGCTGGTGTTGGTTCAAGTGGCTCTGGTGGTAGTGCAACTGGTGTTGGTGCTGGTGCAATGGATGGGGTTGAAGCAAGCAGAGTGCAAGTCGATCCAAATGGGAGGATCACAGAGGAGCGAGAGAAAGAGCTGCTGGAGGTAACAACGAAGGGCGGTGAGGGCAAGGAGGAAGGAGCGGAAGCGGGTGAGAGAAGAGCGGAGAAGGAGCAAAACGGAGAGCGAAAGACAGAATGGGAAGCGCGGGAAACTCAAGGGGGCAGAGATGAACCCATGCTATGTGAGCTGACTTTTGAGTCGACTCAAAAGTCAGCGCGGGAACCTCAAGGGGGCAGAGATGAACCCATGCTATGTCAAGCCACAGCCGCAGCAGCCACACCAGCAGCAGCATCAGCATCAGCAGCAGCAGCAGCAGCAGCAGCAGCAGCAGCAGCAACAGCAGTGGCGGCGGCAGGGAGAAGGGTGGCGGTGAGAGAGGGGAGTGTGCTGGCGAAGCTGAAGCGCGCCACAGCACAGCTGAGGCAGCTCAGGGAGAACTACCTGGGGGAGGGCCAACCTGGGGAGGCTCAACTGAAAGAAGACCAACAGGATCAACAGGGGAAGGCTCAACTGAGGGAGGGTGCAGGTGACAGTGCAACTGCAGCAGGAGCAGAACTGGCATCAGCGCCAGCACCAGCAGCAACAGGATCACCTGCCGTGCCTGCGCGGCCTTCCCCCCCCCAATCATCCATCCCCCTCTCCGCCTCTGCCTCCGCTGCTGCTGCTTCAGCCGCGGCTCGCCTTGCCGCTCGCACCAGTGGCAGCAACGGCAACCCTCTGGAGGCGAGGAGCCATGCGGCAGGAACAGGGGCAGGAGGAACACTCCTCTCAGCAGGAATGAAGCCTCAGGCATCTGCGGCTGCTGCTGCTCCTCTTGCAGGAGGCACCTCCCTTGCGGGCGGCACTGCACCTCCTCCTCCTCTTGGAGGCACAGCAACGCTTGCACGGATCTCAATCCCAGGCCTCACTGGGCCAACACCAGCCCAAGGCTTGTTCGGGACAGGACCAGTTCCAATGCCAATCTCAATGCCAATCTCAATGCCGGTCTCAGGACCGCATTCAGGGCCGGTTTCGCCAGGAGCGAACGCCCCTGCGTCTCCCTTCGCCCGCGCGTCCTCCTCCTTCTCCCTTGGCCGCATCCCCTCCTCTGAGTCCCTCCGCACTGATCCTACCTTCTCTGTTTACGTTCGGAGGTCCGGCTCGGCCCGAACCTCGGCCTCGGCTGCGGAGACCGAGCCTAGCGAAGGGGTGGTGGAGGGAGGGATGGATGGTGGGATGGAGGGAGGGATGGGAGGGGAGGTTGGTGGGGATGGGGGAGAGGCGGATGCTGAGAGCAGGGAGAGGGGAGTTGGAGGAAGAGGAGTGCGCAGGGCAGAAGAGGAGGAAGGGAGGGAAGCACGGGAAGCTGGGTCCGCAGGGGATGGGTCAAGAGCTAATTGTGTGAAAAGAGCGGAGGAGGAAGGGGAAGGGAGATCAGTGCAAGCGGAAAGAATCCAGCCTCTTTCATGCTCTGCTGCTGTTGTTGCTGCGAAAAATCATGCTGATGCTGGTCCTGATGATGCTGATGCTGGTCCTGATGATGCTGATGACGCGGATAGTAATGCTGATACAAGTGCGGATGAGGCTGCTGCTGCTGCTGCTCCTCCTCCTCTTGCATCCTCCCCTCTTTCGTCACCACACCACACCCTCGCCTCCCTCTCCTCCCCAGCGTTCATCCCTCCTCTCTCCCTCGACGCCACTCCTGCCAGCAGTGTACTCTCCTACCCTGACGCCTCCCTTCCTGCCAGACCCACTGCTGCCCCTGCTGCCGAAGCCACTCCTGCTTTCCCTGCCACAGCTCATACAGCAGTTGGTGCGAGTGGTGTGGGTGGTGCGAGTGGTAGTGTTGGCATTGGTGCTGGCAAGCCACGTTCTCCCCCTCTCTCTTCCACCTCTACTCGCCCCCCCGCTCTCTCGATCCCCTCTCGTGCCCCAAGAGCAACGGCAACACAACACCAGAGCGAGAACACACATGCACAGGCAGCCGCACAAGCAGCACGAGTCACGCCACTCCTACCGACTGCAGATGCAGCAGCGCAGCCAGCAAGAGCACCAGCCACGCCACAGGCACCAACAGCCGTGGCTACTTCTGCAGGTGGGCCAGGGATCCAGCCTTGGCTACCAAAGCAGGCATCCACTCGCCTGGGATCGGCTACGAAATCAACCACGGCAGGTGCAGGTGGAAGGGCAGCTGCGCCTGCACCAACAGCTACGGCTGCTTCTCCTGCCCTGGCTGCTGCAGCTGGAAGGGCAGTCAGCGCAGCAAAGCAGGCCCCTCGATCACCTCCCTTTGGCTCCTCCTCACCCCGCTCCACTTCCCCCAAGCCCTCCTCCACCGCTCTGCACTCCTCCCCTGTCAGGACACGGACACCTCTCTCCCACGCTCTTCATTCCCCTCCCACTCGCCCCCGATCTCCTACTGCCTCCCGCTCTCCTCCTCCCTCTGCTCGCTCTCCTCCGCTCTCTGCTCGCTCTCCTCCCCTCTCTGCTCGCTCTCCCCCCCTCGCTGCCCGCTCTCCTCCCCTCTCTAATCGCTCTCCCCAGCGTCAGCCACAGCAGCAGCAGAAGCAACAGCAGCAGCAGGGCGGCAGCAGGCATGCTGACAGCAGGGCAGGACCTGGACCAGCCAGGACCATTCATGACTCTCCTGCTGAGGCAGGTGTATCTGAGGCCATATGTGGGGTCGCATATGGGGTAGGCATGCATGAGGTTGGCACATCTGGGGGAGGTGTATCTGTGGGAGGTGCAGGTGCAGGTGAGGTGAAGCGATTGTGGGGTGGGTGGAGCAAGGGGTCTTCTGGTCAATGGATGAGTCAACTGAAGTCAATGGAGGAAGGGATGGGTCAATTGGAGTCAAGCAATGGAGAGACGAGTCAACCTAAGTCAACATACGGAGAGACGAGTCAACTCCAGTCAATGGAAAGAGAAACGAGTCAACCCAATCCATTATATGAGGAGACAAGTCAAATCGAGTCAACACATGGAGATACGAGTCAACCTGAGTCAACGGAGATGGAGACAAGTCAACCAAAGTCAACAGAGGGAGCAGTGCAGCAGGGGGGTGGGGTCGGGAGGTATGGGGGGATAGGGAGAAACGGAGGTGGTGGTGGTATTGGTCGGTGTGGAGGAGTCGGGAGGTTCTCAGCCTCTGCTGCCACCCCTTCGGAGTCCTTCCTCATCCTCCCCCCTGCTCTGGACCCTAAGGATACTATGCATACCCATTTGCACCCACCGCACACACCCCATGCACCACACACACCACACACACCACGCACACCCCACACACCACCTGCCCTCAGCTCTCCCCGTTCCTCCCACCCCCTCTCCCCTCGCACCCCGCTGCGAAACCTCTCCCCCTCGTCCTCTCATCGCTCTCCACCAATGGGATCGCGCCACGTGGAGTCGCGGTACATGGCATCGGCCATGGCAGCAGCAGCGCCGCCCGCCTCGCCCGCCATTGCCATGGCCATGGGCGGCAGTCCAAGGGCGTACACCCACTCCATGCGCGGATCGGGCGGCACGGGCGGCATGGGCGGCACAGGCAGCCCATCAGACAGCACCCAGAGCTCTCTGCTGCTCCGAACCAGCGGCAGCTGCGGCAGCGGTGGCTTCGCCCTGCCTGCTGCTGTTGCTGGCAGTGCTAGTGGTACAGGCAGTGGGGGTGGCGAGAGGAGGGGGAGGAGCAGGGAGCAGCAGATGGCAGCGATGGTGGAGAAGTGGCCTACGAGCCTCAGAGGCAGTGGTCCTGCTGTGGGTGTGGTGGGGCGAGTGGGGGAGACGCACAGGGGTGCAGGTGCCAGGGCACGGCCTGCGTGGGGTAGTGGGGGTGGGTCGAAGCCAGCTTGGGGCAGTGGGCCTGGGGCAAAGAGGTGAGGGACAGTGGGGAGGGAAGAAGGAAGAGCAGGGAGCAGCAGATGGCAGCGATGGTGGAAAAGTGGCCTATGAGCCTCAGAGGCAGTGGTCCTGCTGCGGGTGTGGTGGGGCGAGTGGGGGAGACGCACAGGGGTGCAGGTGCCAGGGCGAGGCCTGCCTGGGGTAGTGGGGGTGGGGCGAAGCCGGCTTGGGGCAGTGGGCCTGGGTTTAGGAGGTGAGGGATGGTGAGAGTCGAGGAGAGGAGCGGAGAGGGGAGGGGAGGAGAGGAGAGGAGAGGAGGGGCGAGGCGAGTAACGAGGCGAGGTGAGTATGGGTGGCTGTCTGGACCAGACGTGTGCGGTGGCAATTTCAACAGACGGGAGCAGGGAGGGGAGGTGTGAACGAGGGCGCTCTCTAGAGCTTTGCCTAGGTCGACTAGGGTGTTGTAATAAGTGCGAGCTAGGCTCGTGCAATGACTAACAAATCACTTGAACAATGTAGTGGTGAGGGAAGGGGCGGACAGGTGCCTTTGACTTGCCTGTTGACCCGTGTGTGTGTTGCTTTCTAGTTTGCAGACACAAATGCTTGCATTGCATTGCATGTACAGTGTCTTATGTTTCCTGAAGTTGAAGTACGTACGGTACATAGATATCTCCTGTGCACTTGCACGATACAACATACCGGTACAAGCCCTCCTTAGCTCCACTGTCTGTAACCCATGGCACAGCACGCAACAAGAGAGCACTCCAGTAGTCTGCCTGCCACGCAAGTCCGGTCTGGTGTCAGCTGAGTTGGAGATCTAGAGACAGACTGACCTTCAGAATACTTGGAAATCAAGAAGCACATACACACAGACAGACTGACACTCCCTGCTCTCCGCCAAGATTGCTGAACTTGCTGAGCCCAATGCTACGGTACCAACTTGAAGACACAGCAGAGCAGAGCAGGGAATGGAATGTCAGGCAATATGAGGACAGACACACCGACATTCCCTGCTCCCTCCCTCGCCTGTTGCGGTAACAGACAGCACTAGGATAGCAGAACTCCCATCCCCATGTCTCCCTGACGCTAAGCACCAACACCAGCACTTCCCTCCCATCTCTCCCCGACTCTAAACGTCAACGGCACTCCCATCCCATCCCCATCTCTCCTTGCGGGGACGTGGTAAGTGTGCATCAAGGCCGGCACCCTTCGCCCATTGAGGTAAAAAGCAACAGAACTAATGGCAGTAGTGTCAGCAGAACTCCCCCCCACCATCTCTCCCTCACTGTAAACGTCAGCAGCACTCCCCTCCCTCCCCGACTCTAGACGTCAGCAGCAGCACCCACGTCTTCATCTCGCCTCACAGGGGCGTGGTATGAATGCCGGCGGGCGGCATCCCTCGCCTGCATGCCGTGGAACAGCGGGCCGAATGGCCGCATGGGGACAAACCGCCCCGCCCCACGTGTGACGTTCAGCCGCCCGTGTCGCCACACCACCCTGCCCTGGCTCACCGTCACCTCAATATTGCCCTGCGGGATGGGAAGAACGGATGACAGCGGGGTGATAAGGCATGACAGGGGGGTGATAAGGCATGACAGGGGGGTGATAAGGGATGACAGGGGGGTGATAAGGGATGACAGGGGGGGGATAAGGGATGAAAGGGGGGGGATAAGGGATGACAGGGGGGGGATAAGGGATGACAGGGGGGGAAAATGACGGGAGAGGGGAATAATCGTTGGCAGGAGAAGCGAAGAAATGGTTGGGTCAATGGCAGCGCTGATGGTCCCATCATGTCCTGCATTTCTGTGTGTTAACTGTGTCCCACTCACCACTCATCTCACCTGCATGTGCCAACCCTCATAGACATTGGTGTCAATGCGGGAGTGGTGAGAGGTAGCACTGATGGTGGTGCTGCCTCGCGGATTCAACACGATCACATCAGCATCTGATCCCTCCGCCACCACGCCCTTCTGCGGGTACAGGTTGAATATCCTTGCGCTGAGGAGCACGAATGGGGGAAGGAGAGGGGGGAGGAGAAAAAGGAACTTTAAGGAGCCTAAACAATCGTCCGCATCTGAGCCCCCAGCCACCACAGCCTTCTGTGGGTACAGGTTGAATGTCCTCACGCTGAGAAGCATGGACAGAGGAGGAGGGAAGAGAGGTAGGGAAAGGGGAAGGGATGGTGGGGACAGGGCTCGCAGTTATCTATGGCATGGTGTAAGGGGTCAGCTTGGGATGGAGAGGATTCTATTTTTGAGGCGCCTCAAAAATAGGATGGTGGGAATAGGGCTCGCAGTTATCAATGGCATGGTGGAAGGGGTTAGCTTGGGATGGAGAGGCGGGGAGTGGCAGGCGATGGTGCTCATGCTGATGATCTTGAAAGGCTGGAAGATAGTTTAGTGTTCGGGAGAAGGGTAGGGAGGGATCGGAGCAGGTGGGGAAAGGGGAATACCTATAGTGCTGACTCACCATTTTGTGCTTCTGATTTACCATTCTGTGCTGCTGACTCACCACTCCGTGCTTGTGATGCGGACATAATCACTAGGTGACATGAGACCCGAATTCTGCAACCATGGGTTGAGACAAGAAAAAGAAAGAGAGGGGGAAGGGGGAGAGGGGGAAGGGAGAGAGAGGGAAGGGAGAGAGGGAGTGTGTGTGTAGACAGACATGGAACATGCATCAATACAACAATAAATAGGAGTTTCACCTCTTTATGGTATCACATCCCATGCCCACTCACCACCATCACCCATGCCCACTCACCACCATCACCCATGCCCACTCACCACCATCACCCATGCCCACTCACCACCATCGCCCATGCCCACTCACCACCATCGCCCATGCCCACTCACCACCATCGCCCATGCCCACTCACCACCATCACCCATGCCCACTCACCACCATCACCCATGCCCACTCACCACCATCACCCATGCCCACTCACCACCATCACCCATGCCCACTCACCACCATCACCCATGCCCACTCACCACCATCACCCATGCCCACTCACCACAATCACCCATGCCCACTCACCACCATCGCCCATGCCCACTCACCACCATCACATCCCAAGTTATGTGCATGCGCTCCTCTATGCCTGCACACAGGGAAAGAACACACGAGACATGCATGCATACGAGAACATTATTCAGCCCATGCCAGCCAGAAAGACAAGACAGAATGGAGTTGCCATGAGCACCTATTACATGGCATGTGGCTCGTAAATTGTTGCATACGTGCACATAGTGTTCCCAATCAACCCATCAACATCAACACGCGTCGAACCATTCACGCCGTCACGACACATCTAGCATCCACGGCATAAGAGTGCACGGCATGAGGGAACCATTCCCTGACCACCGGAATCATTCGATTCCCTTCCTCACCGTTGACCCCGTTGGGAATGAGGCGGATTTTTTAGTCGACTCAAGAATAGGTACCATCCACGTCACGTCAGAACCACTTCCCTGACCACCGGAATCATTTGATTCCCTCCCCTCACCATTGACCCCGTTGGGAATGAGGCGGATTTTTTAGTCGACTCAAGAATAGGTACCATCCACGTCACGTCAGAACCACTTCCCTGACCACCAGAATCATTTGATTCCCTCCCCTCACCATTGACCCCGTTGGGAATGAGGCGGAAGTCATGGCGCCCCTTGGCCTTCTGAGTCGAGTTGAAGGGGCAGTGGTCCGTCGCCACCAGCTGAGAGGGGGGGGGGGATGGAGAGCAAGCACACAGAAAGCATATTGAGGGTAGTGCGGGTAGTGAGGGTAGTGAGGAGAGAGGCAGAATATGCCTTCTGAGACAAGTTGAAGGGGCAGTGGTCCGTGGCGACCAGCTGAGGGAAGGGGAGGGAGTGAGGTCAGAGTGAGCACTGTGAGTGTGGAGAGAGGTAAGTAAGGGTAGTGAGGGTAGTGGTAGATGCCTTCTGAGACGAGTTGAGTGGGCAGTGATCCATGGTGACAAGCTGAAAGGGGGAGAAGTGAGGGAGCGGGAAGCGAGGGAGTGGGAAGTGAGGGAGCTGAGAGTGAGGGCTTGTGGAGGTGGTGAGGGTAAGGAAAGATGGATAAGGAGGTTGAGAACAACAAAGGCCCTGGTTGGGTTGCACCGTGACAACACAATGCATGGCCCTGGTTGGATGCTTGCATTGCTTGCAATGTAATGCAATGCAATGCAATGCAATGCAAGGGTGTACATGACATGCAAGGGTGTGCACATTCTTGAAGCATGATATCTTTCAAATGAACCATATACATGCAATGTACCAGTGGCAACGCGTGATAGAAACTTTGATTTGAGGCGCGTCTCATAACATGGAATCTCTCTGATAAAGCGCATACCTGCAGCGTGCCAGTGGCGAGTGCTGCTTTGACTGCTGCCACGTGCTCTGCTGAGCGGATGGGTGGACTCATCACAAACCTGCCGAGCGGGACAGAGGGGCATGGGAGAGGCGAGAGTGTCAGTAGGATGACAAACAGCACGCCTGCTACGCAATGCATGCATGAAGGTAAGATGGAAAAATACAACGTGAAACATTCTGACCTCTCCTCGAACAATAGAAGCAATGCCAAACGATGCATCAGGAAAAGTATCTGCATAGCACCAAACACAACGAGCGGATGCTTGGAGCAATGACACGCAGCAACTCAAGATCGAGCCCTGAATCTTGAGACATGGAGACATGGTGACGCACTGAGCGGCGTGCTTGAAATCAGGCGACCAGAGGTGGGAATCGTTGAGAGCAATGCCCGACACCACTGGCTCCCCCACCACGCGCTGCCCTGATATGAGCAACGCATCAAAGTAACAGATGCATGCAGGTATGAGTTGAGATTTCTCCACATGCACCTGCTTGAGGGTAGATGCGAGGGCTGAAGATGTGAGGGAGATCTCTTTGCCTCACCTCTGCACCTGGCGTCAGCCACCTCCCTGACTGCCCTCTCACTCATTCATGACACATCCACCACACCACGCACAGTCAGGGGTGCTATGAAACGGGCTCACCAGGCCACACACTCAGCGCCCCACCCCTCCCCTCCGCCTCACTCCTGCAACACCTCTGCGCCTCGCCCCTGCCACCTCTCTGGCGCCCCCCCTTCCTCATGCCATGCTCTGAGTAAATGCTCAGAGTAAACGGCTCACCAGGCCATGCAGTCATCCCCACCCCTATGCCCCACCCCCACACCCCCCCTCACCTCTTCGCCTGGCCTCGGCCACCTCCCTGGCAGCCCCAGCGCTCATGACATGCACCACGTACAGCGGCACGCCCACCACATTCGCCAGCCGAATGGCCCTGCCAGTCGCCTCCTCCTCCACCTGCACGCCACGGCACATGGGCAGAGAAGCATAGGGGTTGCTCTAGTGACGGTTGGGATAGGGGTGTTTGATGGCGGAGGGGAACAGGAGTTTCTCAGGCAAAAAACTAGAGCTTGAGACGAATGGGATGGCCCTGCCTGTCGCCTCCTCCTCCACTTGCACGCCACGGCACATGGGCAGAGAAGCATAGGGGTTGCTCTAGTGACGGTTGGGATAGGGGGGTTTGATGGCGGAGGGGAACAGGAGTTTCTCAGGCAAAAAACTAGAGCTTGAGACGAATGGGATGGCCCTGCCTGTCGCCTCCTCCTCCACCTGCATGCCGTGCCACGGTGCCAGGCAGAGAGATTTCGGGTAAGAGCAGGACAGGGGCTGCTTTGGTGACGGTGCTTTGGTCACATCTGAGTGAAGGAAACAACCAGAGCCCAGCCTGAGCCCAACCAGAGCCCAACCTGAGCCCAGCCCAGCAGGAGCAGCAGAGGGGGCAAAAGCTCTTGGGACAAAAGTGAACGCACGCACCTCAGGAGGGCGGGACAAGGGGTGGCCTTCGGGGCCGGTGATCCCAAGGTCGAATATGTGCTGCTGCCCCCACACCACTGCATCGCCGTTCTCTGCATGCACCTGTGCGCACACACGGCAAGAGGTGGGAATGGGGAGTTGAAGCTGAGATTTGGTGAGTCTGATGAGTTGCAATGAGTTGAGTAGAGTTGAGAAGGTATAGCTGTGATACCACTGCATGCACCTGTATACACCAACACACGCACATGCACACGCACGCACACGCACACTTACAAACACGCGCACGCTGCTCCCCTCCCCCACACCCACACCCATTCACCCGTTCACCACACCCCCCCCCCCCCCCTCCCCCCTCCTCCTCCCCCCCACCCCCAAACCCCCCCTCCCCCCCCCCCCCCAACCCCCCACACGCGCACTCACAAGCGCACACCTGGGGGATGGCGCCGAGGTGCTTGCAGCGAGTGAAGCCATCGAGTAGCTGCTGGTCGTCCACCTGCAGAGCGCCCTTGTACGCCATGAAGAACTTGAACGAGTTGATGCCTGGCCGGGGATGAGTTGAATGAGTACATCAGGAGTTGGAGAGGAATCAGGAGCACTAGCAACGAAGGGTTTGAGACATCACCAGTCTCGTCCACCTGCAGAACGCCTTTGTATGCCACGAAGAACTTGAACAAGTCGATGCCTGAAGTGGGTATGCCGATCAAGCATTGGAATGGGTACGAGAGGAGGAGGAGCAATGGATAAGAAGGTGTGAGCCCAGCACAACCACACACATCCCTTCCCCTCCTCTCCCTCCACATACCATACCATCCCATCCCACCCCAAATAGCCCCACCTCACCTCACTTCACCCCACTGCAACTCACCTCGCTTCACGACCTCCTCCATGTCCCTTGCCACCTCCTCACTCCACCGTGTGACACCCATGTGAAACCCATAGTCCATCACGGCATTGCCCTTCGCCTTCCCCTCATACTCCTCCAGGATCCGCAGCAGATCGCCCCCTGAAGCGGGCGTGGCTCCCAGCACATAGTCAATGTGGAAGGTGGTGCCTCCTGCCAGTGCTGCTGCCTGGCCCGAATAGAAATCATCGCATGATTCTGTCCCCATGAAGGGCATGGCCAGATGGGTGTGCGGGTCGATGCCTCCTGGGGATAGAGAGAGAGGGACGGGAGGGAGGGGAGAGGGGAGAGGGGAGGAGAGAGGGGAGGGGAGGGGAGGGGAAGGAAGGGGAGCGGGCGGGGAAGTGTGGGTTGGAAATGGGGAGCGAGGGGAACAGGGAGGGAGCAGAAAGCATAGTCGATGTGGAAGGTGGTGCTGCCTGGCCCGAGTGGAAATCATCGCAGGACTCTGTTCACATGAAGGGCATGGCCAGATGGGTGTGTGTGAGGGTCGATGCTTCCTGGGGAGAGAGAAGGAAGGGGAGGTAGAGCAAAGAACGGGTTGTGAAATCTTGGATGTGCAGGGTGGCTCGGTCGCCTGGCAGCACTGTTGCCTGGCCAAAGTAAGAATGCCACATGAATTTGGCCTCCCTGAACTCGTCATAACAAACTCGACCCTATGAACTCAGTCCCGTTAACACGTCACAACGAACGGCGAGTAAGTGTGCGTGCATGTAGCCAATACATTCCGTGCAACCCCACGAACATTCAATGGCACCTGGCATGACGTATTTCCCGACAGCATCGATCTTCTGAACCCAATCTGGAACCTGCCAGCCACGTCAGCAGAGCCAAATCATAACAGACAGCATGAACACGTTAGTAGCAAGACGAGTCATACCGTATCACACCAAATTTGCAAAGCATGCAGCGAACGGTTAGAAAGGCATTCTTTGCACTCAATATTGGTGTGGTCATGTTTGGAGCGGAATTCGCTAGCAGAATAAGTCACCTTGATATTTGGCCGAACGAGCTTGATGGTTCCATCCTCTATATAAATGTCTGCAGCGACTTCGCCGTCCGCGTTTACGACAGTGCCTCCTGCTATAAGCAGGTGCGAGCGAGCTTCAGGCGACGGCGAGATTACGTCAGAAGACACGGCGGAGCAGAATGGAGGTGACGGTGACGGTGACGTTGACGGAGCCGCCTGATACATGAATGAATCCACCAAGAAAACGTTAGCAGCTGACACATGTCGTGGATGAGGGAACGTGTCAATGCCATTGTAAAGCCCTCGATACTAGAATCAGTATGTGACAATGCTAGCTAGTGAAACCAAAGAAAGATAACACGCTACCACGGTTGCTCAACCTGGAAACTGGAGCAATGAATCACGCACAAAGCACCGACACGGATACAAGCAGAGACGTGAATTCCTTGCATTCTAGCTAGAAAAATCCCTTATCTATCGTGAAGCGCGGCAAGAGGCACGATACGGACTACATGAGAACCACTAGCGGCTGACAAACCTTGCAAGAAGAAACGGAAGCGACCAGCCAAAGCGCCAGGACCATCAAGCCCATGGCTTTCATGGCTGCAATCGCCTAGCGACGCGCGAAAAGCGAAATCTCACGACTGCTGACGAGCGACGAGCGACGAACGACGACCGACAGTCTCTTAGAAAGGCCTTCTTGGAATGACCGTATGCAGTAATGCGACTGGCTGGCGGCAACTCTGGTGGCGAGCAAGCGTGAAAGTGGGTGTCAACTGGAATTGCGACTTCGGTTTTGTTCCCGCCCCTTGGGAACTCAATTCCAACATAGTAAGTCAGGAGTGGTGTACATCTTCATTTGTGATGCCTTCATAAACATTTAGCGACAAATAGTTGATTTACAGTAACGAACATTGTAATAAGTCTTAGCTGTCTGGTTTGAGTATGTGCATGTCAGCCAGGGCTTCAGATTCGTTTTGGGGCACACTTTGTAATCAGGGTTGTAGGTGTAGTCAAGTATGATGTCTAGGGTAAAAAAAAAATTCCCTAACAAAGGCAAGGTAATTTTTTTTTTTGGCCTGACGAAGGCAGGGTAAAATCTTCGCTACGCTGAAACATTCAGAGTAATTTTGGCCTTACACTGATTTCACCAGCAAATCCATTTTCGCCCCATGAGTTCACATTACATAATCACAATGTGCAATGCACCAGCTACATAATCCTTTGCACACATTCCAGCACCTGCAACCACTACTCATTCGCCAACAGGGTCAGAGGACTCTTGAACGGCTTCAGCGAAAATAGCCTCGCCCGGGATTGTGCCACTGAAGTCCTTAGTCGCTCTCCGCAGCTTCTCTCCCCTGAAGATGGACACCACCTCGTACCAGTCCACGTCGTACTGTAGCAGGGAACAGCGCATCAAATGCTCCAGGGTGATGTCCGAGATGCTGCCACGGTCCCACGTCTTGATCAAATTCTGCTTGCTGAACCCCCTCTCACACTCGACCGTGCTCAGTGGTAGGACGGCAACTGCCTGCCACATCTTCATCAAGTTCGGGAACGAGTGCTGCCAGTCGTTGTCACAAAGCATGTTCCCGAGTGCCTGGTGAAAGTCCTCGTTGTTGTGTTGAGAGTACATTGTTGGGGTGAACATCCAGAGCTCGCTCTGTGCTCTGGTGTAGTCGAATCCTGTTGTACGGGTATGGGTTTACATGGGGCTATACTCGCAGCAATCGGGTGGAAGGGTGAGGATAAAAAAAAACAATCCAGGAGATACACAAGCGATCAGACGAGTAGTTATGAGAGTGTGCCGATCGTTACGGCTGAATAAAGCAGAAGCAGATGGGAAAACAACGCTGAAGGGAATGGGCCAAAACAGTCAGGTACAAACCATGAGGTCTACGAGCATACATGGAAGCTTCTTCCTGTAGAGCTTGTGCAGTTGAGCCAGCCATTTTTTGAAGTTTCCCACACGTTTGGCATCGTCGGGTACGTATGAGGCTGACCGAAATAGCTTACACCCCTCCAGCTCCTCCAGGTCTTTCATCCGCCACTCCAGCTCCTTGTCGACAGCACGCACAAACTTCAGCGACAGCTCGAAACAAGCCGTTACATCTCCGTCCGTCTCCTGCCCTTCGATGGGATTCTCGTGCAGCGTATAACTGAATTCCACAGGGTTGCCGTCACTGTCCACGCCCTCTGCCTTCACCTCCCGCTTGTCCATCTTCTGATGACGCTGAATGAAGTCGTTCAGTGTCATCTTCTCTCCACTCCCGAAGTGATGATCCGGCTCAAAGTTTAAGTACCGGTTCTTGATGCACATCCGTGTTTGGTCCACGAGATGCGACACGAGCGTGACGTCGATCTGTTCAGACAGTACAGACAGGGTTAGCGACACACCTTTCTGGGCGTAAGCAGTCTATATACTTCAGATTCGTTTACCTGCCGTTGCTGGAACCGTTGGTTCAGATGGTTCAGCTCCCACAACACGTCAGCAAGCAGCCGGAGCAACCACTGAAACTTGAACGACGTGGCGATCTCGTACAGGTCGTTGTTGTACTCTTTGAGCACCACGATGGCTGCAGGCAGGATCTCGAGGAAGCGTCGGACGGCCTCACCACGTGACAGCCAGCGAACGGTGTGTATACCTTGTGCCTCCAGGTTTGTCTTGCAGAAAACATGCTGAATGTTATGAAACTTCTCGTACTTGACGTTGGATCGCGAGATGAGATCTGCAAAGCCACGGATGACGTCGTCAACCATGTAAAGTTCAGGCACAGCATCCGCGGCATCGCTTGCGGCTAGAGCCTCCCTGCCAAGTAATCAAAGTACGAGTTGTGAGTAATGAAGTTAAAAATGGTGCATCGCTTTCCCACCGAGTGCATGGAGAGACACTCACCGTGGATTTGGTCTGTGCTCTCGTCCAGTGACAAGCCAATCCAAGGCGACTCCAGCAAGTGCGATCGTTGCAGTTTTTGTAGGTACGTTGAGATGGCCCGGAGATTCTCTCTGAAGCCATATCTGCACATAACAACAGATAACAACATCAGTATATGTGAATATCACCCGTGGCTACCGTTAAAAAAACAAGCGCTTACTCAGTGTAGTAGGCGCCATATCTACCACCGTTCGGAAGGTCTGGAAGGCCTTCCTTTGCCAAGAACCAGCAGAGCGGGATGAACATCGAGATCGGTGCATCCGCCCTGCAGATAAAAAGCGCAATATGAAGCACGCGAATGATGTGACGCATAGACGCGTCAGTTGACTGCCACCGTGTTAGTTTCGCCTGTTTCTCCTTCTCAGCTGCAGCTTCTTCTTGGTTCTTGACCGCGATCTTGTGGGCTCGTGTTGAGGAATGGGCCCGGACGCTTCCTATCTGCAGGTCGCGGCCACCTTCACCTCTCACACCATAGCTAGTGTGAGCTGCGGGGGTCGCCATGCTGCACACAAATGTCACACTTGAGTTTTGCTTCTCCGTTAGGCATCCGAATAAGACGCAACCACTTGAATTTACCCTGCCACTCCGTCTCAAAGCGATGCTTTATGGTCTCGTAGAGAACGTCACCGGTAGTTTTAGCGGGCGCCTCGTCTTGGGTCGCTACTGGACGTTGCGGTGAAGCTTCTTTGCGGGGTGGCGGGGCTCCCCATAGCCGCTACTGCGTGTACTTCGTTCCCACACGCGGGCGTTTTCCCCGGGGTGCTGCTCACAGTGGACGGTGAAGCCGCGGAGGGTCTAGACGACCCTTCACCACCGCCTGGCACGAGAACAATTGACGGGTGCGGCTCCCAGTCAGCAGGAGTCGACGGCGGCTCGAACGGGTATACAATACCCACACTACGCACGGGAGAAGCGGGTGGTGGCAACGGCGAGATGGGCACGCTGTATGTCTCAGAAGGGGGAGGAATAACTCCCAGCACAGAAAGGCCATTACGCACTACCGCAGGAGATTGAGGAGTTTGCTCGGCATGCATGACTACCACATGTGAGAGACCTCCCAGTGGGTGGTTCTCACACTGAGGGTATGAGAAGGATGAGAAAGATGGGGTGTTCTTGGGATAACGACCCCCTCCTCCAACACCCGTGATGACCCCGGAGCGCGTAATTGCATGGCTCACGGTGGTCACTTGTGGCTGCCAGGGTGTGTTCTGTTCAGCACGAAAGGAGGATGGCAGCCCCGCTGTCCTGTCGGCGCGCTACTAGACAAGTCTGGCAGTTGTCAAATGCTGCTCTGGCCTTGATTCTGTGTTGCGCTGGCATGGTGGCTGCCTGTTCCAC